TTCGGGTGACAATAATTACCTTAATTTTAAAATACGCTCGGAGCTCTTGTCCGACATCTTGAGTTCAGGTACATGTTCGGAGTGTTACTTAAAAAGGTGTGCAGGCTTGGATGGATGTAGAGAATTATTTTCCTGTGGCACTCTCCGAATATGATGAAGAAATAATCTGACATGTGATAGGAAAGAGAGAAAAATGATGAGCGGGAGGAAGCCAATTTGCAGGGGAAGGAAGTTAGGCGGATAAAAGCTGACGAAGAATTACAGAATTTTATAAGCTTTCCGGAGAAATTTTTATCTGCTTCAGTATATGACGTTATGAATTTTCAACGTCTATACCGCGAATTTTAAAAATTACAGTGACAAACTTGTAAGTGCGTAGATATTTGAAGTTATGTGGCCTTATACAAATATTTCTTTGCCTTTCATGCGATAATAAATATGGTCATTTTAAAATGTTGCTAAATTTTGCTTTTCTGAAATATAAAATATTGTCTTGTGTTTTATCTTTGAATAATTTGAAAGAAATTCGATATTATTTAGTTAATTATGGTTGGTGAATCAACCACATGACCGACGGACTTCACATGTTGCAATTTCTGCAGCACGCAGCAATGCACGAGAAACATGAACACAATTATCTGGAATCGGTGGGGTCTCGTTCTTTCCAGAAAAAGGGATTCTACTGCCAAATGAAGTTGCACATACGGAGCTCAAACAATGCCATATTGCTTAAAAATGCAGGAAGTGCAACTAAAATTTTTGATTTTAAATTCCTTACAAATCTCAAATTATGAAAACTTTGGGAATGTCACAAAATTCAGCTACGGGAGGTTCTTCCATAATTTAAAATTATTCACTATTAGAAGGACAGTATCCAAAAAAAAAGAAGTCCTGTCAATAGCAGGGCGCATTTAATGAACGATTAAATTTAATTTGACCTGTTGTAGTGAGACGCATAATATGTCCACAAAAATTTGGTTCTTCAATTTAAGCATGCCTCTTCTTACAAGGCAGAGTGGAAACTGCAAATAATTTCTGCATAATTTTCAAACAATAAACTATTACTGCATTCCTAGATGTATTTTAGTTGATAACTTGTGGGAATAAAAAATCAGCGAATATTCTGATGCTTGTCATGGTGGGCACTTTATGGGAAATGTGTATCTGTATTCAGTGAAAATTCGTCAAGATTTCTTTACAATACGTGGTGTATATCTTCTTTGAAATTTATTACCATTTCACATAAATTTGTTTATGTTTAGATAATTATTTTGGTTTGGTTTATTTGACAATGGGAAAGCGCTCGAGGGTTATCTACTTGAAAAAAAATATGCCTTGATGGAGGATTTTCTAACAGAAATTGGTCTGCATACTCCATTCCGTTTATTCGAACCTGGGACCAAACAACCAGTGCTCAGCGATCTTACCGCGCCGCTGCTGGTAAACGTTTTAGCTAATTAAGCAGTATATTCGATAATAGCAATTGATTTAATCACTCATGGGGATCACTTGATGGTACTGAAAGATTAATTGCTAGACGAGAAAAAGTATATTGCCATAATGGTAGATAGATTTACTAGTACGATAGATGCTAAATCTAAGTTGAAAAACTTTTTAATTTAGTACTCAAGTCTTACTGATGTTTAAAATACCAAAATGTCTGAAGCAATAAACTGGAAATAGATTTCACGCATGGCCTCAAATTTTGGAAATTTCTAATGGAACACATGCACTTAATCATTTAAATATGTTCTTCAAGTGCATAACCTTGTTCATTATTTAACTGTATAGATTTTTCTTTTATCTTTACTCTCCTTTATCTCATATTGCAGAAAATAGACATTCCTGATTGTTATTAAATTCATTCAGATTATAACGTTGGCAACCTGATCATCAAAATCACCTTCAGGAGCTCACAAAATTTTATACTAAAATAGAAAATTAACCGACGGTGTATGCTTTTTCTTTTAAAAGGATTTTTTTTTCCTCATTTAAATGGTCTTTATAAAATTATAGATATTTTATCTGTTTGCCTGGTTTAACTAATAAGACAAGGATTGCTGTAACAAAAAGGAGCACATGTGGTATATTCTCGATGCAACAACGAAATGTTTACTGATCGTTAAGGGTAACAATATCTAGTTTTACAAAACTTTGTGCATTTACTCAGTGTATATTGCGTTCAATTTATAAAGGAGTATGTTTTATATAGCTGAATTAATGAAAATTTAGTGAGTAAATTAGTAATTTACTCACTATCCTACCGTTTTATAGATCTTTCATGATGTTATTATATAACATATTTTTATGACAACTTGGTATTTCTAATCAGTATTTTTATACTTGGATTAGAGAATTTATACTCTTTAACTATTTAGTTAGGTAACACGTTTCTAAATTTACTTCAAGTTTTAGATTTTTAATGATGGACGATGTTGATATTTGCACATTAACAGCTGAAGAAGTTGGTTCTCTAGTTAAACCATCGAAACTAATCCTGCAAAATTTACAAATATTACATTGATGTCTGTTACTTTAGCCTAAATTGATGGACGATGCGTTAAAAAGGAATATCACCTTATACAGTGCCACCATTATAATGGAAAAGCTACTATTACTTTATTTTGCCGTTACTTGCCGTGAACATTAAAAGATGAACTTGTTAAAGCATGTCCGTAGAATTTTTACCTTATAGTTGAAATTAATGCAGTTCCCTGTTGAAACAATTCAGTCCATCATACATAGCTGAAAGCGGTTGTTGATTTTAGATTATCTATTCATGCTAGAACTCTGCCGTCATTATTCAGTAATCCACGTTAAGGTGAATATTCACATTTAGTAAGGTTTATGTTGAAACAATTTACATGACTCAAAAGAATTAGTATAATGTTCTTTAAAGATTATCTGCTTATGCCAGGTCTCTTCCGCCATCATCCTGTCATCCAGATTAGGGTGAAATGCTTATTTTAGATTCAATTTGCACCAGACTAACATGTAAGTTTCTTAAAATATGATATAATAATCATTTTAGGAGAAATGCAGAAATATAAATTTCCAAATCAGGCAAATGTTTTGCTTAGCCTTTACAAATTCATTATCATTTTTTAAACGAAATGCATAATATTATATCATGATAACAAGAATAAATATTTCACAACACAATTTCTCTTATAAACATTTATTAATTTAACATTTTTAGTATGCACATGTAATGTATATATATATATGCACATGTAATGTATATATATGTAATACAAATATAATACATATAATTGTGTGTAATAATTAGCCTTTAAAATTTAATTACTATTTTTAAACAAAACGTATAACATTATATCATGATAACAAGATATAAATATATCAAAACACTATTTCTCTTATAAAACATTTATTACTTTAACAATTTTGTTATGTATATATAATATATATATATATATATATGCACATGTAATATATATATGTAATACAAATATAATATATATGTATTTGTGTGTAATAATTAGCCTTTAAAACTTAATTATTATTTTTAACGAAAACGTATAACATTATATCATAATAACAAGGAATAAATATTTCACAAACACTATTCTCTTATAAACATTTATTACTTTAACAATTAGTATGTATTTGTAATATATATGTATGTAATATATATATATATATATATATATATATATGCACATGAAATATATATATGTAATACAAATATAATATATAATGTGTGTGTAATATTTAGCCTTTAAAACTTAATTATTAATTTTAAACGAAACGTATAACATTATATCATGATAACAAGAACAAATATTTCAGAACACTATTTCTCTTATAAACATTTTTTAATGTAATTTTTCATGAAAAAGTGTTACGAGCTTCAAGTAAAGTACTACTTTCGGTTGTCCATGAAAGCCTGTTATGGACTTCCAGTGCACTTCCGTTCATCTAATTTTATCCCGAATCTAATCAAATTTTGTATTAATCTAAAAAGGTTAAAAAGGTTTAAGTACGGATAATGTGAATTTTTGAAAAATGATAAAAACGTGTTGTGGTGACTCTAATTAGTGCTTATCTACTGTAAACTCATTACAAATTTTGGAACGAGCATATTACGTCCCTTAGTTACGTATATAAGAAGACAACAGATAGAAAATCTACAGGAAAGAATGCGTATCTCCTATTATACTTGGCTGAAACATGCTATTAATAATTTATCATTTAAGCAGTTTAATTTGGAGAATAATTTCGTTTGGTTATATATATCAACTTTAAATCAACGTTCAAAATAAGGGAAAACTTCAAAATACTAAGTAGAACATTTTTGTTTATATTTTTGTGTATTTCAGAAGCAATCAGTAGAAAACAGAATACTTTATTTACTTTACATTACGGTGTACACTAAGTTTATTTTTATTCTTTAGCACTTTATTTTTGACAAGTTATGCAATCCATACCATGTGCAATAAATTCATGTACAAATGAAGATGAAAAGAATTACTAAAAATTGTGATAACATTTGTTATCACTGCTATTATACCGCGTATTTTGCTTTTCATTTTGCACTTCTGTAAACTTTTGCTTTATTCTGAGAGTGTGGGATAACAATTTTTCGATCGTCCCGGAATAAAAAATTTTGCTTAGGTCTGATTAATCTGTCCTTCTGAGTTGGGAGTTGACTATATTTAAAAATTTAGGGGTTACTAAATTCCTTACTTTAAGTATATATTTTTCGCGATTATTAAATTACCTTCTGTTAATTAATTTACAAATTTAAACTCAATTTACTGTCAGAAATCTTGTTGAAAACTATTTTTCTTTTACTAAATTACGAACTGTAAATGATATTGCCTCTCAAAATTTAAAAGATAATAAATAAATAAAAAAATAGGCATAACAAAAATGAAACTGCAAATAAACAAATAATTAGAAAACATATCACTACAATTTTTAAATGATTCATTTTAAGAATAATGAATTAAAATATATAAATTGTCCTTGTTTTTTTAAATGCAAAATGTTTCTTCATAAAGAGTATTTTCTTTCTCTGACATCCAAAGTATATCTGCAAGGAAACAAAAGCAAAACTGTATCAATTTTCAATAATGCAGAATAAGTATTATAAAAAGCAAAAGTGGTTTTTATAGGTTTATATTTATTTAAGAAGAAAAATATTAGATTATATTTTATGTAATCTACAGTCTTTAATGTAATCCATGGCATGTAACTCACGTCTTTATTTCAGCTTAACCTTTTCCAAAAGCCTGGGACATATATGTCCTGCACGTTCACTACTTTAAATGTGTCTCAAGAAACTACAGTAAATTATGGAGATTTAAAATTTACTCTATAATATGAACCAGGAAGTGTAATACCCTGTTGATTTGTTTTTCAGCTCCTTTCTGTAAAAGCAGCTGACTAAATGATCCTAATACATAAAACATTGGTTCCTATGTCACACGGAAGATGGTTAAACTGTTATTTTTGGAAAGCGAAAAAGAATTTTAATTTTATAAGAAGCTGAAAGTAATGCATGCCACTGAGGGAATCAATGAATATTTTAACATAATTCTTCTTTTGACATTCAATATAACCGGCGAACTTTCGCCACCACCATTGTCTCATTCAGAGAATTACATCAAACAATAATCTTCATATCTCTCCGTTTTCTCTAATTCGCCGATTTGGAAACATAAATAGTTAAATTGTAGAAATTTCTCCAGATTCATGCGATAGTTTTACTTCATCAAACGTCTTCGTTGTACTTAGCTTGCATTCGTTCCATCCTTACATTTCACTTGCAAATGAAACGATGAAAATAAAAACGAAAGCCTGACAATGAAAACAAAATGCAAAATTGTTTTCATTGTCAAGGTCTTTGAATAAATCCTCCCAACTGTTCCATTTGCGCAAACTAACACTCTCAAAGGGAGTTATCCTCCAGTGTAAACCTCTGACTAAATTGTGCTCGCAGTAACCAAGATACTGGCTTTTCATTGCTTACTGATAACAGTGCTCCTAAAAGAATATGCTAGACTCTTTTCAGAATCAAAAAATTATTATATCCGGACAAAGCCACAACCTGGCATGATGTCAACATCCAAAACAGAAATTTCTCCAGCTGCAAATAACAAGTAAGAACACAATATGAATACAACGGTTCTACTCAATATTTTAGCCTTGGAAAAAATGTACAAAATAAAATACCTCCAACCTTGCTCAAAACTCAATTAAAAAATGAATAAATAAAAATAATTATCATTACTTATCACAGAACAGACTGTGCATATAGAAAAATTTTATTTAAGGAATAAGAATACTGTCTGAAAATTCATTATTATCGTCAGCTGTGTTTCTAACTCTAGAGATATTATGAGTGCTATAGACGACTTGCACTAAGGGAATAAAATATTTTCTTATTGATTTGCCGTATTGCACCCCTCTTAATTGGGCACTTTTGTTTGCAATACAACATGCACACTAGTGCGGAGAAGAACTATTACCATAAATGCTTTTTCAATATTCATATATATATCCCTAACAACATAATGATATCGTTTCACAGTGCAAATTAGAAATATAATTGAAACATTTAACATGATACGCATAGAACATATGTAAAGTTTCACATGTATACGAAGTATGTGTTCATATGTGAGAATCCTTCATCTGCAGTCCTGTCCACCGGCAACTCGAGATTATTTTAGCCTCTACAAAACAGTAAAGAACTAACTGTATTAGACTAAAGCCGTTGCCATAGCAACAAGAAACTCTTGAACCGCTATCCAAAGCGCGCTCTTTTCCATTCTACTGTTGACATCTCGAAATTCTCTCCCACTTCCCGCTATCCAAGCATAAAAGCAAAACTAGCTTAAATTAGGACTAGGAAAATTTTCCAGGTCGAGCCACTTGTTATACTCTTTTTTTCTCTTTGTTCCTTGCATCTCTGAATTTCACTTTTCGATGTCTTCTTTACTCATACACAATTTCCCTGGAGTCAAGACCTGTAATAGCTGCACAAATTCGATTAAACGTTTGGTTTTCGCATACTGTTTCATGTTTTTTTTTTTTACGTCAAAAGGAATTTGCACACATTTTAATAGATCCAACTATGTGTTCCGTATTCGAAGAAATAATTTTTACTTTGAATACTTTTACTAGTGTAAAAATCGCATGTACTCTGCGAAATGCCGAACATGAAGTAATTTGGATTGTTAAAATAGTTTAAAGTACAGCTAACGTAAAATTTTATAAAATAATAGATTTGAGATTGATACAGTACAAGAAAGCTTGAAATAAAGGCATAAAAATACGGCAGTCAGTTATTGCACAGTTGAATGTATACGTAATGCAATTTTTGTGAGATGACAGTGGAGAGCATTTGGAAATTCTTCAAACAAATGTAAACTTCCTTAGATTAATGGAAATTGGTTCCGAATTCCAATCACTAATGGTTAAGAAATCCTATTGCATCTAAACCACAATTGAGAATGTCACATTTTATTTAGACAAAAAGTACGGAGATTGCTATTTTATTTCTGGTCTTGGCAACAGTAAGTGTTGCCAGGCGACCGCAGATGATTCCAGTCGAAAGGTAGATATTTTTAATCATAATTTCTTCAGAAAGTTTAGCTTCTGTTCTAAGCTTTACTACCTCCAGTGGTTTGGCTATTGCGAACTCCGTGGATATTCCACCAAATTTATGGACAACTCGGGCAAAAGGTTGGCCAAGTATAACGTTAATAACCTCATCCATGTATTTTAGCATTCATAACTGGCATGCATGTAACGGTTGCCCATCAGTAAATGATTATTGAAATACACGTTTTGTTATATATATATATATGCAGCACCAATAACTATTTACTACCTAAAGGTATTGGAAATTTGGTAACATCCTGACATCTCATGTTCTTGGTTTATTATCAGCCTGCAACAATTTTAGCAACTGGCCAGCATGCCGCACACTACAAGATTACACAATACCTTGTTGACTATCTGCAACTAAGCGTTAAGCGTAAAAGACATTCCTCTTCTATGGAAGCTCCGTGGTGGAATTCGGTTTGGTGGCCGAAAGGAACCTTGTTTTTGCCTTAATAAGAGGTTTCCAAAGAAATCATGATCCAAGTAAAAAGGAGGCTCTATGGTTATTACATAGGAAACAATGCTCTGCCTATTAGCGTAGAATGGCTAAAGCTTAACTTGTGAACTTGCAACATTATTACTATAGGACAAGGATCACAGACACAGAACCTAAAACAATGCGCAAGGTACTTACAAACATAATTAAATGGCTCAATCCGAATACATCTCAGTCCGAATACAGCCATCCGAACATAGCCGCATTGGATGGGCTTCATAACGGCATTCTTAAATCAGTGTATTATACGCACCCAGTATCTCTGGCTTCTTACATACAGCCTGCTGAAGATTTGGACATTTTCCAAAGAAGTTGCATTTTCGCTATATTCTTAAAAGGAACCAGGACCGAAAGAGGCAACTTCATACATGGCCGTGTGCTTTTTCCCAGAGATGGTGAAAATTCTGGAACGGATATTCTTGCAAAGATTAAATTTTCATAATCACAAAAACAGGCTTTTAAGTGATAAGCACTATGGGAAAGAGAAAAACTGTTGACTATTCACTAAATCACTTCCCCACACCATACTTGGAAAAAAAAAATATGTTCATTCTCTGATCAGGTACATCTTTTTAAAAGGCGCCTTTTATTAGCTGGGATAGCCTGGTATTTTGCACCGCTTATAAGAGATGAAATGTCCAAAGATTATTTCCGAATTTATTTACAGTTTTTTAAGCGAACGACGGGTACAAGCCAAAATGAACGGAGACAGTCCCATATAAAGTGTTTCCAAATGCTTTTCGGAGCTCTCCTGCATGAGTCCCCTTTCGTGGAGCATGGTGGCAGACACTGTTCGCATTTTGGCACTGATGAAATGCGATACTATACAAAGAACTGCCGCTTCAATCTGAGCTCTTCCTGGTGCCTCCGTATGGGGCGTCAGTTTAACCGAAGAGATGCAGCTGGCCTGCGCAGAACCATTTCTGCAAATCATCTGCTCAGGACTCAGAACCTCACTAACTAGTGTCTTAAATATTTTAGCAGGAATTCCTCCATTACAACTGAATCTACAAAAGGAGGGAGTCGTCGTTAAGGTTATCAGGCTAAAGGAAAATGTAACGCTATGGAACAAGATTATCGTCGGACTACGACAGCTAAATTTTCTATCCACTTTGCCACTCGCTGAGTTTGAGATAACAATTAAGTGCAATTCAGTACGCACAAAAAGTAACTACCGTTTATACAGATGTTGTAAATGGGGCAGCAGGAATGGGAAGTGCCTGCTGCGCAATGGATGGCGATCTTGTAATCCACATCTGGGTCAAAATGTTTCAAACCAGTTAACTCAGTATTTCAGGTTAACCTTGGAGCCTTAAAAGCAACTCTGGATTAATCCCAGACAGAAAATGATTTGCACAGATTCTCTGTGAAGTTTGTAGGCCATTTACAGCGGGAGGATCAGGCACCCACCAGATGAAACAATTCAAATGCAGCTGCTGCTATTTCCCAGTACCAATCCTACGAAAATCTTGGGCAATAAAGCAGTTAATGAGATTGCGAAGACGGCAGCTAATGGGTCATATTCATAAGCTCCTGAATGTAGCCCCATGGCTCATATAATTCCTGGGTAACAGAAGCCATTACTGGGAAGATACTCCATGACCCATCAAGAATGATGAGCCAGGGATACCTGCAAAAATAAATATGCGCTTCGTCGCATAAGAGATTGTACTGTCATTGTTAAGAGTTTAGCTGGCAGCTTGGTATAATTCCCTGCTGCTAACGTTCCCTTTCTCCCGATAAAATAAGAGCTGACAGCTGTGTACATTTGTATAATCCTTATGTATTTTTTTCCTTGGTTCTTTCTTTGTTGCGTTTGACGTCTCTGTATTACTCATTTTACATAAATATAAGATTTTGCAGTTAGAAAATTATGTCTAGTTTTGTATAATTTATCTCTCTGAATATACTTCTAATATTCATGT